TCTGGCGCTGGTCCTTGTGGGGCAGCAGAAAGAGACGCAGCACTGTGGTGTAGGGGATCTTGTAGTCAAAGGTCTTGCCGTGCAGGTGCAGAAAGGTGGGGTAGATACGGATGTCATAACGGCCTCGGGGAGTCAGACACTGCAGCTCCCGGAAGATGCAGATGGCGTCTCCGGTGGCCTGGATCACATCTGCCTTCGACAGCACGTTCTGGGCAAAGGCCTGCAAAAGCACACACTGGTAATCAAGCAGCAGAGACCCCACCCCTGGGCTGTCTGGGGCCTGCTCCACACCACCTGCTCCCAAGGCAACCGGGGAAGGCCTCACCTCAACGGGGTCCACGCCATCCTCCTGGGTGGGAGGCACATAGAAGCGCACCTCCATGAGAGAGACCTCTGCATCGTCATTCTGGTGGAATTCCAGGGTCACCTCATTCTTGCCTGTGGTGCACTGGGACACGTTGCTAAGAGGTATCTCGAAGACCGGCTGGTCACCAATGTCAAAGGAAAGCAGCTGCCCTGGGGGAAAAGGCGTATGGAGCCACAGGCTCTCCCCTTGGCTCTGCATACACTATGTCCCGCCAGACTATAGGTTCCCTAAGGACAGGGCACTTAGGCTATTTTGTTAATACTGTACCCCAGGGACTAGGCACAGTGCACCGTTGGTCCTCGATTCAAGTACATGATAAATTACAAACTGACAGGAAATCAGAAACAGTGGCAGTAAGAGAGTAAAACAAGCTAAAGGCTGAAACCCTTCATCCTTCCTTCTCCTCCCAGACCTCAATCTTCCGCAAGACTCACCACCAAACTTCACTGTTCCCCAGTTCCAACCCTTCACACAGAGGTCCTTCTCCATGAGCTCCAGGCGATAGTGAGTTTTGAAGAAATCAGAGAGTTTCTCAAACTCCTGTGAGTAGAAGGGAGAGAACAAGCCCAGTAAACCCCAGTGGCCTTAACACAAACTTGAACGTTCTGGGATTATCTATTGCTGAGAAACTGCCCAATACACCTTTTATCAGAAATCCACACTGACTTAGAGTCTCAGCTATAAAGCTATTTAAAAGGCTTTTCAGGGCTTCCCTGGTGGCGCAGTGGTTGAGAGCCCGCCTGCCGATGCAGGGGACACGGGTTCGTGCCCCGGTCCGGGAAGATCCCACATGCCGCAGAGCGGCTGGGCCCGTGAGCCATGGCCGCTGAGCCTGCGCGTCCGGAGCCTGTGCTCCGCAACGGGAGAGGCCACGACAGTGAGAGGCCCGCGTACCGCAAAAAAAAAAAAAAAAGGCTTTTGGAAAAGGTTGTTTCCGGAGACCGGCTCTCAGGCTGGGAGAGGAGTAAAGGACTGACATTCCTGGCTATGCACCTCACAATGGTTTTCTGACTTTGTACAGGTATTGCTTTAGTGAAAGTGGAAATGAAGATGAAGTGAAGTCTTTAACTCAAGCAGTTCAAAATGAAAAAACAAAACCCAAACTAAAGCATCAGGTAAGACCCTGAACCTGGAGGGAGGCAATAGGCAGAAACCACCAAAAAATCAAAACAGCAGAAACACTTCCGGAGTCAAGGCACAAAGAAACTCCCAAGACTGACACCCAAAGCTGAACACTGATTGCTTAATAGCTTCAATGGTCCTGCACTAAGGAGCCCAAACTAGCATTTACATGGTTATCAGAAAAAGGAGCCCCACTTCTCTCTAGAAGGTTAAAAATCAAGAAGACGGCGCAGTAAAAAGGGGGCTATGGCAACAGGACACCTCACCGACTCCCGGAAGCCGTCGTACTTGTAGACATGTCCGTTCTTCGTGAGCAGTTTAAGTCCGTGGCCCAGAGCTACTCGGCGCCAGATACCTTCCGTCAACTCCCCAGCCTGGATGTTGTCCACTTTGCCGGTCTTACTATTCTTGAAGATGATGCCCTGGCGGCTCAATCTCAGCCGACCATCATTCTGTTGGAAAAACAGGTCCAAATGCACGGGAACAGCACACAATGCAGACCAGGGTCAGTCCCACCCAGCACTCCTTCTGGGCTGGCCAGATAGCAACGCAGGAACAACAGCCAAAAGGGTGAGGGCCAATAAGAGACAAGCAGCCAGAAAATGTGGATTCTAATCCTGGCCCTGATCCAGAACCCTTGCAGGTCCTCAGTTTCGGGATTCAGGGCTGAGCAGTAGGTGTGGTCCCTTCAGATTCTAACATTGTATAATTTTTATACTCTCTCAGGATTGCTTCTTGTTGAGGAAACACCAAGTACATATCATACTCTGACTCCTTTTCCAAAGTCGCTACATTGATGATACTGCTACCTCATCAAGACAAGCTCTTGTTAGTAAACAAAACGTCTACTCCACCTCCCTCCCTCCACCTGTATTAAAAACCCAAACCCTTCTTACCATGGAGCCTTTCACCTCCTGATACACGTCGTTGAACTCCAGCGTTTCTGCCATGCTGACCTGCCGCTGTTAGGTATGCAGATACACGGCAGACCGGGAATCTGAATTCGAGAGAGGGAGATAAATAAGTACAAAAGACAACACCTCATTCTGCCTACGGATGGAGCCAAGTGGCAACCCTTGCTGTGCCTGGGATGTCTCAAGATCTCCTCTGCCTGGGAACCTACAGGCCGACTCTGCCGAACTCCAGGGGCCAGGCCCAGCCCGGGCAGAAAAACCAGGCCTGCCTGAAGTAGCGCTTACATCCCAACCAGCCACCCGCTCTGGGCACTCCACCGGGCGCCATGGCAACACGCAGCGGAGCCCCAGGACCTGCCGGGGAGGCAGCACCTCGCCCGCGCCCCAACCCAGCTCAGAGTGCAGGGTTTCCCTCCCAGAGCCCCCGCCGCGACGCGGTCCCGGACCCACAGTTCTCCCCTCCCCCTAAAATGGATTCGCCCGCCGCCCGCGGATTCCAACTCGGAATGGTCCATCCCGCGCATCCCGCGGGGGAGCAGGGCCCGCGCCCTCCTGGGGAACGGGGACGGCGACCACCCACCTTCTCAAGCTGTCACCTCGCGACGGCCCGGGTACGGGCAGTGGGCGCGCTGGGGGACGCGGAGCGGGGGTGGGGACGCGGGGGATGGGGGGGACGCTGGGGTGGCTTTTCCCGCGTGCGCGGCCCAGCGTCCCGCCACCGGAAGCCCGGCGCAGACCATAGAGCAGACGAGCTGGCTAGAGAGATGCGAGCCCGGCCCGCCTTAGCGGCGGTCACATAGAGCGTCGTCGGCGCTGGAGGACCTGAGAGAAGAGGGGTGCAATGAAGTCTCACCCGCTTGGCATCCGACTAGAAAGTGGGAGCGCGTCGGGCTCTTTAAAAATTACAGACACTTCAGGGGATGACTAGGTTTTAAAGAGAAATTGTGTAGTTGTATTTTATCAGACTTTCCACAAATGCGTGTGTACGTGTTGGAATGATGTGTGTCCTCTCTCTCCTGCACAATAGTGGTTTCGTGGAGTAGAAAGGAGCCTGTGGGACCAAAAGGAAAATATTTCATGAGTTGTGGAGAGAAATGACCCCTCCCACTGCCTCCTCTGAGAATGCGGGTGTTGGTGTGTCTGTGACTGTACTGCCCTCCCCTGTCACATGGGATTGGATCCTTTTTGAAATGAGTTCACTGCGTCCAAAAACTTCACATCAGTACCTGCAAGTTGTGAGTCGCCTGGAAGGGGCTGGCCAGCGGCAGTATCAAGTTGAAGTGTTGGTGTCAGATTCACCATGGAGCCGGAACTGATCTGAAATCACATCAGCCTGGGATTGCAGAAACCAGGCCCCGCCTTATATAGTGCTAGGGTGCGACTTGCCAAATCAGAGGAGGCCAGACCTGGAAGACATGTTTGGGTTCGTCTGCTCCAACCTCCTTTTGCAGATGGGAAAGCTGAGGCCCTAAGAGGAGCGGCCCAGGGTCTCAGTTGGCAACAAAGCTGAAGACTAAGAATCCAGATCTACTTACCCCAGTCTAGTTCTCCTCTGTCATCCTCACCGTGACCCTACATTCAGAATGACTGATAATGTGTGTCGTGTATGAAGACATCAGGACAGAATATTTGAACTCAAGATTTCTCTGACAATCTGACCTACTGTTACACCAGCTTGCTAACTCGATCCTGGGACAAGAGACAACGTGAATGCCCTGTTGCTCCCTGAACTTATAACTTTAACCTCTGGGTAATGGCTGTTACCGCACTATCTAGCAACATAAATTCAACTAGATTCAATAAATATGTATTGAGCTCTGATGCAGTGATAAGATTTGAGGAAACTAATAAACAAGATGGAAACAGCACCAGCCTTCCAGGACCATGTAATCTAACAAATGATTCAGATAAGTAAACTGACAGTAAAACAAAACGCCCAAAAAAACCCAGTATGATAACGCTGTGTTAGGGGTAGAGCTTCAGCCACTGCCAACATGAGTAGGAAATGGGAACTATAGGACTCTTTAATCACCCCTTCCCAGGAGACCAAGAGACCCCCTCCCCATGACCCATGCTATTAGTGGCAACTCGAGAAAGGAGGGGATGGCTGTAGAATCGAGCAGCTTTAGGAAGACCCTCAGGAATGCAGGGGATACTCAGCTCAAGCAGGCTGTTAGGTGGCTGGGGGGTGGGATATTGCAAGGGGCTTTCAGGAGAGCATGAAGCAGCTGGTGAGCCAGGCTGAAGATGCAGCATAAGAGAATGGAACAGAAACGGTACACGGAGTGCAGATAAAACATGAGTCCCAGAGGGCCCTAGCCAGATGCATCCTGGGCAATCAGGAGCCTGGAATTGGAGACCCCACCCCTGCCATGACATCACAGGGGAGTGGGGTGGAGACGAACAAAAAGGGGGTCCCCCACCCTGGCCCTGGACTCTTGGCAGCCCAGAGTGTCAAGAGCAGAGGAAGGCTGAGCACTGGGCTAGGGTTGCCCGACTTAAAGGAACAGGCTCCCCATTCCTCAAGACCCTCTAAGCTGCCCCCTCCAGGCCTCCATCTCTTGTCTCCCCATCCCTGTGACCTCTCCTTCTTGAGGCCACCATCGGGTCTCTTCTGAGGGGTCATTGTCTCAGCATGAACTGCATCTCAGATTTCTTCACCTACGAGACCACCAAGTCGGTGGTTGTGAAGAGCTGGACCATTGGGATCATCAACCGAGCCGTTCAGCTTCTGATCATCTCCTACTTCGTGGGGTGAGTCTGTGGCCCTCAGGTCCAAGACGGAGGACTTCCCGGCATCCTGTCCTCCCTGTCCTGCCCCTGGTGTTGCTGCCCAGCTGCCTGAGCTTCTCCCCTCTCGGGACCCACTGTCTCTTCCATGGGGCCACATCCCAGAAACTGGCTTCTGCTGCCGCCATCGGGGATCTGGTCCCCAGATGCGTTCGTTTTCCCAGTAAATCCTCCGGAGTTGGGCAGTGGCCTCTATGCACACACCCCGAGGAGGGGAGCTCTTGCCCCTGCACCACCCTCCACCAGGGGAGGTCCCAAGTGACCAGCTCCCCTCCCCTCTCTCGTCTCCCCCCGCCCCAAGCAAGCCAGAGGACAGACAGACCTCACACACACACACACATCTTCCCATTCCCCTCAGTCAACTCTTCGGGGGTCTCGGAAAGACAGGGGAGCCAGGGAAGGGGAAGGGAAGGCGCTGAGACAAGGGAGATGGTGACGGGTTGACCAGGAGGATGGCAGAGGGGGAAGGAGACAACGGACCCGCTGTGGAGTGAGGAACTCCTGTCTGACAGGGGGAGATGCTGAGAGAAGGTGGAAGGGGAGAAGCCCTCACTCTTGGAGGGCAGGACAAAGCGGGGCATTGGGTGAGGGCCTCTGTCCCTGGGGAGGGGTGGGGAGAAACACAGGTGCAAATGCCACTCAAGGGGAGAGCTACTGTGGAGAGAAGTGGCTTTTCTGAACATGATGTAAGGACTCCCCTCAAGAGTCCAGAAAAGCTCCCCTTTGTCAGAAGGCATAAATTCCCTACATCTACCTGACTTTGTACCCTAGAACCCATCCTGGGAGTTGCTTAAGAGCCATCAAGGTCCGAACACCCCCTCTCGGCCCCCACCTCTTGGAGGCAACCCGCTGCACACACCCACACACACAGAGCTATATATGCACAGAGGTTCCTGGAGCGGGTGATGGCCGGGGGGCAAACACAGGTTCTGACCTTCTTGTGGTCATTCGCATTAGGAAAGCTGGGCAGAAACCTCGGGGGTTTTCTTTCCTGGCACGCGGGTCTCTAGGCTCGTGCTGTTCCCTGAGACAACAGTTCTGCGCGTGTGAGACAGGAAGCCACTGATGCGTGCCAGGAGTTAAGGCAAGGAGATCAAAGGAGGTCTGTGTGCGCGTGGGCGGGGCTGCGAGAGTGAGCCTGCTGGTCTGCGAGGCCGGCGTAGCATGCGGGTGTGTGCCTGGAAAGGTGGGCAGGCGTGGATTAAGGGATTTGTTTTGCTCCACACGCTTGCTGAGAGGCAGTGGGCTCCGTTCACGTGGATGTTGGGGGCAAGACTGCGCAGCCAGTGCACCTCTCGGAGATATTAGAGGAGGGATTCAAGCTTTCGGGTAGGATTAAATGGCGTTAAATGAAGTTCCCTTCCAACTCGTGGTTTCACAAGATGTGATGTTTGCAAATGTTCCCCAGCTGCATGTCCAGCGCCTGGGGCAAAGTTGGTTCTTAAAGGCTCCATGTTCCCGTGTATATGTGAGGCTGTGGTTGTTTATAGCCGCAAAATGGTACCTCGCTGGTCCATGTGAGCACAAAAGCTGCCTCAGCACATTCCGGCCTGGCCTGGCTCCGTGGGCTCCAGGCAGGAGACTGATGGAGGGTAGACACAGCAGGCTCCAGCCCCCCCACTGCCCTTGTCTCTCCCTCATGCTGATCGAGTCTGATGCTCCATCCTCAGTGCTGGAGCCCAGCCTGCTGGGGCGGGTGTGAGAGGCTCTTTGGCGTCTTGCTATCCAACCCCATCGATCTCCCAGCCTGACAGCTCCCCGCAGAGCAGTGCCTGGCAGCTACATCAGTGCGCTCTTTGGCCCAGCCCCTGGCCTGAGCCCCATCTTTGTGCACATGAGCCCGTGCACTGTTAGGACTGCACGAATCCATTGTCATGAATGAAGCAAAAAATGTATCAAGCATCTCTTCATGACAGGCATTAGGCACCGAGGAGAGAGCAGTCGGCAAAAGCAGGAAGGGTCATCACCCTTACGGAGCTGACAGTGCTAGAGATGGATATTAATCAAATCATCTCCACAAACGTAAAATTCCAGCTGTGGCTTAGGGTTGAAGAAGGGCCGCACAGAGCTAGGAGGGCCACCAGTGCAGAGGTGTTTGAATTTGACCGGGTCGGGGAAGTAAGGGAAGGCTTTCTGGAGACGTAACATTGAAGCCGAGAGCTGAAGGATGAGTAGAAGCAGCCCAGGTGAAGGAAGGGAAGGAAGGGGGTTCAAGGCAGGGAAACCCAGCTCTGCAAAGAGAAAGAGGCTGGCAAATGCGGGGAAGACAAGGTCTTTGTGGCTGGAGCAGAGAGAGCAAAGGCGAGGATGGTGTAAGATGGGGTGCCGTCACAGGCAGAGGCCCTCAGATCAGACACCCTCAGACCTTTCATTTTTACAGAAGAGTAATGGATGTGGATGGGAAGCTACTGATGCGTTTTAACCTGTGTGTGTGTGTGTGTGTGTGTGTGTGTGTGTGTGTGTGTGTGAGTGTGTGTGTGTGAGAGAGAGAGAGAGATGGGAAGATTGCCCTGGCTGATATACCAAGGATTGCAGTGGGTAGAAGTGGATACAGGAAAACCTATTAAGGGTCCATGCAGTCATGAGAAGAGGGATGATCACGGCTTAGACTCAAGAGAATCTGAAAGGATTTTTAGTGCTTTGATGTTAATGCTTAACTTGAATCTCTTCTGTATGAGCCCAGCCAGGTAGACCAGATGCACAGCTTTACCTAGGACGTATGTGACATGAGCCAACCATTTCACACAGCAACACACCACCTACTCGACCACACACACACACACACACACACACACACACACACACACGAGAGGCCAGGACTTACAGGTGTTTCTCACGTTCTCTTTTCAGGCCCAGGTGGTAATGCCCAGTCTCCTCTGGGGGTGGGACTTCCTAAGAGGCAACCCCCTTCCTGTATCCTGTGGGCCCCTGAGGTGGAGGAAGAAGATCCCTGGGGCCTGAGTCCCCAGCAGCAGCGGGCAGCGCTTGGCCTGAGGTTGGTTTCCAGGGAAGCCACCTTCCTGGAAACCAGCAGAGAGGGCATTCCCGGCCCTTTGATGCTCCATCCACCGGAAGGGCCTGTGGAGGTTGATGGCGCCCCTGACCCATCCCAGCCCTGCTCTTCCTGCCCTGTTCCTCCCCCTACGAGGCCCATCTGCACAGCCACCCGCTTTGATTCATGATATTCAGCCTCGTGTAAAATCTTATGGAGCTCAACGTGCAAAGCAGTTAAAGGGGGAGCCTCTCTAGTTTAAAGAGGGGGACGTGGAATCCCGCCTTCTCGGCCCAAGGTAGCCCCTGAGCCACCTGGACGGCACACCAGGTGCCTTATGGTGGGAAGAAGTGTTGAAGCCCCTCCTGCAGGTCAGGAGAGAGGAGTGGTTTTCATTCTTGTGTCCCCTGCACCCTCACCGCAGCCCCGTGAGGGGGAGACCTGGTTAGAAGCCTGGCTCCGACACCAACAGGAGTGGAGCTTAGACAGGTCGCTTTATGTCTCTACGTCTCAGTTCCCCATATCTGGAAAATGGGTGTAGGAATGCCCCCTCCGAGAGTTGTGGGAAGGGGAGGTGACATAAGCCCGTACCTGCCTGGGACGGGTGACTCAGGAAGATGGTGACAGTTGTTATTTCTCAGATTTCCCTGCATGTCCCCCATTCGCTCGGCCCAGCTCACACCTTCCTAAGAGACCCCTCTGCTCCCCACACACATGCGCGCACGCCCGCGCGCGCGCACACACACACACACACACACACACACCCTCCCCGGTCTCCTCCCTGACTCCCGGGGCGGGGTGGACAGGAGGGTGCTGGGACACTGCTCTGGCCTCCTTCCTGCACATCCCACCTGCCAAGGAGTTGCCACCCGCCTTCCGCTCTATAAATAATGAACCAGGAACACGAGAAAAAAACAAGTCAGAGCAGCAGAGTAAATGCCAAGAACTGAAGGCTCAGTCCTGCCCCATCTCCTCAGCCCTGGCCTCTGGAGACAGACTCAGTCCCTCTCTTCTGGAAATGAAGCATCCCCTTATCTTGAGCTGCCCTGATGATGTCTTTGGGCCCCACGGGGCCCTGAAACTCTTCCGCTTGTTATTTAACTCGGAGAGAGAATTCTGACATGGCCTCACCTCCCGACTGGGCACAAGAGGAGCCATGAGGGTGGAGGACGAAAAGGAAAGAGGCTGGTTAATTGTCCCTCGAGCCCTGGACTCTTCCTCCTGAGACTATCCTGAGCTAGGAGGTGCTGTCCCTGGTGATGGGGCAGGGCCAGCAGGACAAGGACCAGGGGGCCAGCTGTGGCCAGGCCCTGAGTGGAACACACCTGGGGACCCCCCGGCGTGGCTGCAAGCGCTCTGGCTCTGCAGCCATCTGCCGGGGCTGGAACCCGCACGCCAGCTTGGCGAGTTAGCACACTGCTCTGTACCTCGGCTCCTTCGTTTGTAACGTGAGGATAATAACACAGGTGTCTCGTTGGGTTGTGAGTACGGATTCAATGAACCCTCAGCACGTCGGCACTCCGTGTGCCGTGTTGACTATACGGTGATAAACAATCATCTGAACTCCGCTCCTCAGAGTTCTGAATGTGACCAGACTTTAAGGACAGGGCAGGGGCTCCAGGAGACCATTTCACTGATCAACACTCAGAGGAGTGTCCGCTCCGTGGCCAGGCACACGGAGGTTCCAGAAGGGTGTGTGGCATCTGTGGCTCCCACCCGGGTGAGGGCACAGCAGCGGCAAAGGTGTTCCAGCTGCAACCTCCCTCCCTTCGCTCCAAGGGCCCCAGCCCGGGAGCTGGTGGCGCTCTTTTCGATGACTTCACCGTTTTCCATAGTAGCGATGCTCCCTTCCCTTCTGCCAGGACATTAGACGGCAGGTGGGATGTTTATGGGAGCCACACTCCCTTCGGAGACCTTGATGAAACCCCTCCCAGTTTAAAAACAGAAGAAAAGTGCTAGGGAAGTAAAGCACGGCGGACTTCCACGGAGGCGTGGCGTTCCCGGGAGCGTTTTACAAGCAGGCGAATAACTCTTAATGGTGCATCACTCAGAATGCTGCCTGGGATAAGGCAGCAACCGTAAAACAGGCGACAGGTTAGGAGCCCTCTGCCAGGCTGGCTGTGACAAGCCTTTCTCTCCCACTCGAGGCAGCATTCAGAATTCAGGGGCCTGCGGGAAGCCCCAATGGGAGGATGACTCCGAACCCTCTCTCTGAAAACGGAACAAGGAGCCGCTTGCAAACGTCAGCAGCCTGTGTTCCCATAAACAGGACCCCACAAGTGACCGTGACCCCGGCACAACCCGGGAGCTGCTCCCCTCTGCATCTCCCAACATCAGGGGGCCCCAGGAGTCAGAAAACTCCTGGGCTTGATGTCCTAACCCCTCCTCATAAACTCCTTGGGTCAGCCTGCGAGCTGCCCTCACCGCTTCCCAGCCTGGGAGCCCCCCAGCTTTGTCTCCTCTGTGCCACAGTCTCCGTTTCTGCCACTCAACTTCATCTGATAGAGTTCTGCAGCCGGATACCACCCTGGTTAGCATCAGAAAATGACCCTAACCCCCCCATTTCCAAAAGTGCGCTTCTAGATTCCCTGAGACGTCACCAGTGTTCTGCAAAGCTGAGCACACGCAGCACTTTCCAAACATATTCGAAGAGGTTTTCTGGTCTGCACAGCGGGGACGGTGAACGTGCCTCCCCACGTGCTGTCAGGAACAAGTATTGAGGCCCCGCGTGGTACTGAGGCCGAGAGTGCCTTGAGCCTCGAGGGCTGGGATGGGTGATTTCGCGTGGAAAGGTGGGCACCTCGCGGAAACGCAGAGGGAAAAAAGTGATGTGTCGGCAGGCCCTTCTTGCTGCTGGGGGAGGCTTGGAGGGAAGAAGGGAAGGGGCCCCTCCCTGATCCACGTGGTCCCACCCTGGCTTGAAGCTGCAGGGAGGAGCCAGTACAGGTAAATGCCCACTGGGTGGCAGCAGAATCCAACGAATAAGATTACAGGCCCCTCCTCCCTTCCCACCCGACTCCCTTTACCTGCCAGGTGAGGGCTTGGCAAGGCCCCTCCTTTCCTCCTCTGCCCCTTCTCACCGGACCCTTACACAGACGGAGCCTCTGCGAAGCGCCCAGCTCCCAGGGCCTTCACTGACTTGTTTGCTGAACACCTACTATGTGTCAGCACCTAGGTTACGGCCATGAACAAAGCCCGGGATGCACAGAGTCAGAGGCCTATGATCCTCTCCCTTCTCTGTCCAGATGCCAGCCAGAGAGGGAAAGACAGTGTGTTCTCAACAGGGGTGAAAATTGGTTCTTGGAGAATAAAAAAAAACCCTCACTCTTCTAATGTATAAAGCACAAAAACACAAACAGTACATAAATGATATCTATGGTATTAACATTTCCAGGTGGGTACAATTAGGGTAAAAGGGCTCTTTAAGGAGGAAGTGAGGGGAAAGGTAGAGAAACATGAGTTTAAGCCAACCCAGGGCTCACTCGCAGGGCCCATGCCTCCAGCACCCCCTGCCAGGCACCCTATGTCCTCTTCATGTTGACAGGAAGGGGACCTCTCCCAGCCTCTGTCTGAAGGGTCTAGCCCCTCCTCTGTTGCTCTCCGCCCTTGCTCTCCTGCCCAGGTGGGTTTTCTTGCACGAGAAGGCGTACCAGGTGCGGGACACAGCCATTGAGTCCTCGGTGGTGACCAAGGTGAAGGGCTTTGGACACTATGCCAACCGAGTCATGGACGTGTCTGATTATGTGACCCCACCCCAGGTAGGGTCCCCCTACCTACCCCAGGGTGCTTGGGTGCCCAGACACTGGGCAGGTTGAAGGGGAGAGGGCAAGACAAGGAGAGTGCCAATGGGATTCCCAAACCAGATTCTGTGGCATCGGTGATCCAGAGAACCCCTTCCCCGGCATCTGGGAGGTGTTGGGGGCTTGGGCCTGCCTTTCCACTAGGCAGCGCTAGGTATGGGGGAAGCTGGGTTTCTCTGTAGTCCTGGTACAACTTGTCCTGAAATCAAGGACAACACGCGGAGCAAGAAGAGCCAGGTGGGTGGAAAGAGCCTGGCTTGGACCCCACCTCTGCCTTTTATTAGCCCCGTGACCTTGGCCAGATCTCTTAGTCCAAGCCTCGGTTTCCTCGTCTGTACAGTGGGGATAACAGAATTAGCACCGTTGCATTTTTCCTCTCCCTTCTCCTCCTCCCAAGGGCACCTCCGTGTTTGTCATAATCACAAAGATGATTGTAACCGAAAACCAGATGCAAGGATTCTGCCCAGAGGTGAGGGGAGGACAGCATGGTCAGGGGGTGGGGTGAGGGTGTGAGCAGAGGCCCAGGGCCCAGCCTTGGAGCTGTGTCCGGGGACCTCCACCCTCCAGAGGCCGCCGATGGGCAGGCCCCGCCCCCGCAGGGGCCAGTGCGGGTCCTGCACGCACCTGTCTCCCTGCAGAGCGAGGAGAAGTTCCGCTGTGTGTCAGACAGCCAGTGCCAGCCCGAGCGCTTCCCAGGGGTGGGTGAGTGCAGCTTCTTCCCCACCTCTCACTGCCCCGCACTGTCAGTGGGGCCCTGGGGGCAGCACGTCCCCCCCAGGGGCGAAGCCACCCTAAGGGAGGGGGCGGGAATGGGCCTGTTCCATGTCACGCTGCCAGCACTGCTGGATGCTGGCTGTGACCCAGCCCAGCGGGGCTGCCCCCAGAGTCCCCAGGCCAGGGATGGTGCTGCAGACAGGTGTGCCATGAGGTGGCAAGTGCTGTCACGGAGGTACCGTGGGACCCCGGGGTGGGGGGGGGGGCGGGGAGGGAGAGAGATTGGTTCCTGGCGGGTGACCCCAAATGGCTTCCTAGAGATGGGCCCTAAAGGATGGGTAGGATTTGGCAGGAGATAGAAGCTTCAAAAAGGGCATTCTAGGCAGAAGCAACAGAAGCAGCAAAGGCTCAGAGGCGAGAAAGAGCAAGCGGTGAAGGGGTCTTCAGGGAGCCTGGGGCTTGGAACGTGTGAGGGGAGGGCTGTCACCTCCCTCTGGCTTGTCTAGGGCTCAGGAAGTGAGGAGGGGAGAGCCCTGCAGGGCTAACGGACCCCCAGTCCCTGGCCCTGCCTGTCCTCTACCTCCACCTGCAGGGTCCCTGTGTGCGTTGTGGGGGGTGCGTCCCTGATGGAGGGGTGCGGGGAGGAAGGGGTGAAGGGCCAGGGGTGCACCTAGCAGTTCTGGCTCCACCCTCGCAGGGATCCTCACGGGCCGCTGCGTGAACTACAGCTCTGAGCTCCGGACCTGTGAAATCCAGGGCTGGTGCCCCGCCGAGGTGGACACGGTGGAGATGTAAGGACCCGAGGAGGGCAGGCGGGAAGAGGACCCACCCCAGCTCTGCTCTGCCAGCAGGGGGAGCTCTGCATCTCTGGGCACCCCCAGTACTGTCCACTCCCAGGGCGGGCCGTGCCCACTGGGAGATGCTCCCAGGAAGGTGGTCCCTGGGGGTGAAAGCTCCGCCTGTTTCCCCTCTTCTTCCCAAGGCGCTAAGACCTCCTGCTCTCGCCCACAGGCCTGTCATGATGGAAGCTGAGAACTTCACTATTTTCATCAAGAACAGCATCCGCTTCCCCCTCTTCAACTTTGAGAAGTGGGTTCAAGCTCCCTCCCTAAAGCCTACAAGCAGTGCTGCCACCCCACCCTCCCCCCCCATCCCCCAGCTTCCCGGGGCTCCTATTCCCAACCTCCCCAGGGTGGACCCTGGGGCCAGTTTCTCTGCCAGCCTCCTGCCCTGGGGCTCGGGACCCACGGGGGCTTTTGCTCAGAGCAGGGGAGGGACAAGCTGAACCTGGGCCTGGAACTCGGATGCCTCCAAAGGTGGGGCCCGAGGCGCTCCTCCCATCTCTCTTCTCCCCACCTCAAGCCCAGTGTGCGTGTCCCCTTTCTCTTAGTTCAGCCCCTCTTCAGTGACTTCCCCATTTGGCGACTCCTGGGTGGGTGTCGGCCACATGCAAAGCACAAGGCGGGCACAACAGAGGAGCCATGGGTAAAGACTCCTGCCCTCTGGGAGCCCCAGCACACAGAACCTTCTACGGGAGGGAGGGGTAATCACCGGAAAGATGTAGGGACAGATGTAAGGGAGAAGGCGAGTGGCCAAGAGAGCGGGGGCCCTGAGGCTCCGGACGGCTAAAGGAAAATCCGAGCGTGACTGTCCTCGCGTTAACCCTGGACCTTGCCCTCTCCTCCCCAGGGGAAACCTCCTTCCCAGCCTGACTGCCGCCGACCTGAAGACATGCCGCTTCCACCCCGACAAGGCCCCCTTCTGCCCCATCTTGCGGGTGGGAGATGTGGTCAAGTTCGCGGGGCAGAATTTTGCCAAATTGGCCAGCACGGTGAGGAACGAGCCACTCTTCCCTTTCCTGGCCTGGGGGCCCTCGGGCAGGGGGAGCGGCTACTGGGGAAGAGGAGCTGCCTGCGGCGCAGCGCCACCTGGTGGGGGCATCCCGGGCCTGCGACCGGCTTTGTGCCTGTCCTGCCCACCCCTGCCCTGAGTGGTCTTGCCTCCCGCCCAGCCTCAGTTTCCCATCCCTGTCTTCATGCTTCACCTGCAGGCAGAAGCCTCAGATCTCCAAGAAGGTCTACACTGTGGGAAAGTGGATCTGTGGCCACTTTCCTGGGTTGTAGCTAAGGGACTAAAGACACCAAAAACAGGATTTAGAGGCTCAAGGGCGGTCACCCTTAACTACAGAACTTCTTTACTAAGCAACGTGTGACAAACCACTCTTCTTTCTCCCGACCTCTGTCCTCCACCTGGAGAATGAAAAGAAATCACTTGTCCATTTGTCATGACATGCACCCCCCGCACCGGGACCCACTCCACTCCGACCGCGGACCGGGAGTCGGGGGCTGTGGGAGGGCTCACATCTGCCCCCTTTCTCCATCCAGGGGGGAGTTCTGGGCATTAAGATTGGCTGGGTGTGCGACCTGGACAAGGCTTGGGACCAGTGCATCCCCAAATATTCCTTCACCCGGCTCGACAGCGTTTCTGAGAAGAGCAGCGTCTCCCCAGGCTACAACTTCAGGTAACCCCCGTCCCCCTGGGACTTCGGGAGAAGGAGGCAGGGCTCTCCTAGAGAGGGACACTTCAGGCAGCAACGCATCCTGGGCAGAGACGGTCCCACTTCCTCCCCCTCAGATTTCAGCTCAAAATTAGGAAGGACTTTCCAGCAGTCGGCCACTCGGAGACGGACAGGCCATCCTGTGAGTTCCCCGTCACAAGGAGGGACCGTGTGGAGGATTCATGCTCCCAGCCGGCAGTTAGAGTACAAGACCAGGTCTCCTGAAATGCTGGGTTCTGTGATTCTGAGCCCATTCTTAGCTCCGGCTCTGAAGCTCTAGGTAGTCCCACTCGTCTCCTGTCCCTGAATTTTCTGAGGTTTCTCACTTCACAAAGCAAGGGCGATAGTTGGTATCATTTTACAAGGTGGAAATTTTGCATTTCTCTCCATAACCAGGAGATTTCATCTGAGTCACAAATAACAATTACAATGGCCATTAGTTTTTCAGTGCCTTTCCAAACAAGAACTCATGCCAGTCTTTAAATATCATCTCAGTTATATTCCCAATGGCCTTGAGACATAAGGGATCCCTCTCCCCATTTTGAAGAAAGGGAAAGAGAAGAACTTGGGGTAAACTACTGGGAAACAGCTGAAAGCCCTTCAAAAGCCCTTGACCTTCTCCCATCCTCATTTCCTTATCTACGAAATGGTGATGATATCCTTATTATCTTGAGCCTATCAGCCAGTGTGCGAGAAGCTTCAGCTCTTGGGAGGTTTTTTCCCTTAATTTTTTAAGATCCTGAAGTTTCTGGCAGGGCCCTGATTAAGTACACAGTGTTATATACACTAAACAGGCTAAATTAGGTAAATAGGTAGGTATCAGGAAAAAATATGTACAAGAATATATTTCAGTTATATATTCAAATTTCCTTTGTTATAGTGGTATTATCTAATATAATAGTAAACATAAGCAAAAAAAATCATTTCACCTTTTCTCCCACCTTTATTTGTAGTTTAAAAGAATAATTATCTGCCCCATTAAGCTTTATATTTAATAGTTTAAAATATGTGTGTATTCTCTGGAAAGAGGAATTTTTTAAAATTGAAAGTGCCATCATGATCAACTCTAAACTTAAAAAAAAAAAACCCATAGGAAACAACACATATTTTAAAGTAGGTTAAAAATACTGTTCGGCTCCCTGGCAGAAACTGGCATATTTATTCAGTCAGTACATCACACTGAAATCAATACAAAGGATATTTGTATGGTGGCTTAAAATAGTAACAAATTAATAAAATCCTCGTGATCTAAAATGCAAGTTTTCATCTTCATAACTCCTCTCTGGCCATTGGGAATTCTTCAACCTTCCAAATAACTCATTTGGCAGGAGAGCTTATGAAGAATATAGCTAGTTTGAAGACCCCGACTCTTGGTCTCATACAGCTTTAGAACAAAGTCTTTCATTTAAAGAAGAATTGGTTTGGACTTCCTTATTTCCAATTTGTAGTGGCTTGGCTGACACACACACACACACTCGCACGCACACACACACACACACACACACACACACACTGCCCCCACCCTTTACCCTCTATCACCCCTAGGCACAGCAGGAGAGCAGGAGATGGATTTGGTCCTAAATAAGCTTGGGTTAAATTTGGAGAGACAGGGACTTCCCTGGCGGTCCAGTGGTTAAGACTCTGTGCTTCCACTGCAGGGGGCACAGGTTCGATCCCTGGTTGGGGAACTAAGATCCCACATGCCACGCAGTGCGGCCAAAAAAAAAAAAGAGAGAAAATTTGGGGAGACAGGTCAGAGGGTCCCTAAGGACCCTGCAAGCTCAATTCCCGGGGGCCTAAAGGAAACCATCTGAGAGGTGTGGGCCCTGGATGACTGACCCCCTCACCAAAAACCTCCAGGCTGGAGTATGAAGAGGCAAAGCTGCTGCGTTTGACCCTATGGTTTAAGAGTGTCCAGAGGGCCCGAGGAGTAGCCTGGGCATGGGGGAATCTCTGTGGCCGTGGCAAGCAGGGGGCTGTACCCAAGCTTCCTCAAATCCCTCCCCTGGGTGACCACCCACTACCTCATGTTGCCTTCAAGCTGCTGGCACCACACGGACACCCAAGACTAAGTTAAGATCCCCCGCTGGGGAGGCTCCAGGCCACCCATCTGAATCCTCTGTTAAGAGAAAAAGGGTCACGGCCAGGTTCAGCACAGCCGCGGTGCGGTTCCTATGACGCGGTAGAATGTGTCTGCTCTGTAGAATCCCGCAAGGCTCCTTGCTAGAGGCCCAATACTGGCCGCCCCACGTACAAAGTGTCCCGTGTGCTTTGGCTCAAGGTTCCTCACCCCCTGCCAAGGAGGAGCTTCCGTCCCCCCACTTCACAGATGAGAAAATGGAGGCTTGCGAGTTAAGTAATTCTCTCAAGGTCACAGAGCCAGCAAGCATGGGTGCCTGAACGCAAACCTATTTTCTTGGCTGTTTTCCACCCCATAGGAAGGCTACGGTCATTCGCTTTTGTTTATCCTCAGAAAAACACAGGCAGTGGGGTTGATACTTTCATCCCCAGTTAAAGACGAAGAATCTGAGGTCCCGGGAGGCTAAACGACCAGCAGAGGCTGGAGGCGCCATTCCTTGCCGGGCCTTTTGTCTCCCAACAAATTCATCTGCCTCTCCCTCTCCAACCGAGGCCAGATTTTTTTTTTGAATGTTCTGCTGTTGCCATTTGCTCTGGAGGGGATGGAATCATTCAGCCAAGATTCAGCCTTGTTTTAATCTGAAAACTCTGACATCCAGAGGCAGCTAGAGACTCGCATTTCCATCACTAATTACGTCTGCAGCTCCTTTCCAAATGCCGCCCCCACCCCTGAGGATCTTTGCCTGCAGACTCAGAGACTCAGATGATTTAGAGCTGTTAAAGACCCCTTGAAGAGACCTAGACTAAGGCGGTCATTTAGCAGATAAGGAAGCAGACCCTCCAAAGGGGGAAATGATGAGCCCAAGGTCACGGGTGCACCTTAGACGTCATTTGCTCCCAAGTCCTACATCATTCTTGGCGGTGCAGCCCCAGAAAAGGTCCGTCCATCGTTGACGACTCTGATTATTGGAGAGGTGACCTCGTATTGAACTAAAACGTGTCTCCTTTCAACTCCCACCCAAAGCACCTGGTGCTGTCCATCTAAATTAACCTTTCCAAGTACCTTGAGGGTGTGCAGTTGGTGGGTTCGTCCACATTAGTCCCAGACAAAGTGCAGCATTTCTAAAAATAAGAACTGGCAAGAATCGCGAATTCCATGGTGTGCAGGGTGACGGGCCCCAGAGGCAGGGTTCCTGCATGGCTGGTGCACCCTTAGCTCACCAGAGCAGGACTTTAACCAGAGCACTGCATTCCCCAAAGTGCTGGGAACAGGCAGTGTTGCTGAGGGAGTACTGAGTGTGCATTTGCCCATGAGTGGGTGTGTGTGTGTGTGTTTGTGAATGAGTATATGTGAGCGAGTGTGGACATGTGGGTGTGAGTGTGTCAGTGAATACATGTGCGTCTGTGTGAGCGTCTATTAAAATACTGTATCGGGGGACTTCCCTGGCAGTCCAGTGGTTAAGGCTCTGTGCTTCCAATGCAGGGGACGCAGGTTCGATTCCTCTTCGGGGAACTAAGATCCCACGTGCCTCGTGGCCAAAAATAAATAAATAAATACTGTATCAGTCAGGGTCCCAGCAGGGAACAGATGGCACATGCAAACTGGGTAATTTGAAGAGAGTTGAATACAGAGACTGTTTCAAAGGATATAGGGAGACCACAAAGGATAGTGCAGTGTCTGGGGGCAGTAACAGGACGTTGGTGACTGTCCAAGTGTGGGGTAGAGGGGAGCATGGTCAGAGGAGATACCCAGCACAAGTCTTTTTTTTTTTTTTTTTTTTCTTTTTTTTTGGGGATTATTTTTTTATAATGGTGTGTTAGTTTCTGCTTTATAACAAAGTGAATCAGTTATACATATTTTCCCATATCTCTTCCCTCTTGCGTCTCCCTCCCTCCCTCCCACCCTCCCTATCCCACCCCTCTAGGTGGTCACAAAACACCGAGCTGATCTCCCTGTGCTATGTGCCCAGCACAGGTCTTGACAACTTTCCTTTGTGATATCACAGCCCTGCCCTAACTATTTGAGGTCTCTGAGCCTTTCATGCCCCCTGGTGAAAGCACTGATTGCCCAAGAAAAATGCACATATTCATACACGTGAGCAATTTTTCAGGCAATTTCTTTTTTATGAAGGATACTTTATTTCTACAAATAAGATTAAATCCATTCTCTGAATAATACATCCAAGCCAAACAGAGTAATGACATGAAAACTCTCCTCCCTCCCCCAGTCCTACTCCTTTTGCAGGAAATTAACCACTTGGGCAGTTTGTCCATCTTTTTTCTCTGCATTTATATTCATGCAGCATAAAATTCCAGGACTCTGAAGGCCTTTAAAAGCTTATCCCTGGACCTCAGATTAAGAGCCCCTAGGGTTAAGTTTGCAAAGCCCTTTCACACCTATTTTCGACAGGATTTATAGCTCATTGTCTACCCCTCACCCCCAAGGTAGGCTCAGAAAGATTTTGAGACTTGCCCAAGGTTACACGGCCTAATGAAGAGGAACGCTGGTCCTCAAAGCCAGGGACCTGATCTACCCATTGATTCTAGCACACCTTCCACCGACACATTGCTTGCAAAAAAGAAAACAAGAAAAGAAAAGCAGCTATAAGGGATATACCACCCCCTCCCCTCCCCACCCCCATCCTGATTGCTGGAATGATAGGAGAGAAGAAAAATGGTGCATTTAGCAATGTCTGATTTCTTGTTCCTCCCCTGAGAGTTCCTAAGACAGCTTTGCTACTAAAAGGCAACACAGTTTTGGATTTCCTCTCTCGGTGTCTGGGACAAAAAACACTCGTTCAGCTGCTAGATGTTCCTCGTGCTGTAGGTGTTTCTAGTGATCGTTTAGTGTTGGAAATGTACCCACAGCAGCTTTCATGAAGCTC